GTGTTATCTGTCTGCAGTCACTGTCAGCTTCAGTACCTTCCTCTCTGGATGCCCAAAGTGTTATCAAGTGAAATCAACAAGACTTTGGTTATTTCTATCACAGGCTAGATTCACCTCAGTTTCACATGGTGACTGCTTGACAAAGTAGCATCAAGAGGCTCTTGGGCCCTTTCACCATCTAGAGGGTATGGATCTTCAAATGTACCAAATCCCTGCTAGATAAGTGCTGATATGAAATAGACTCAGACTCAAAGACTTTAAGGCCAGAAGGGACCATCATGATCATGTCGTCTGATCTCCTGCACATGACAGGCCACTGAACCTCACTCGCCCACTCTTGTAACAGACCCAGAATCTCTGTCTGAGTTACTGACATCCTCAAATCACGATTTAAAGACTTCAAGTTACAGAGACCCACCATTTAAACACTAGTTTAAACCTGAAAGTGACCCGTGACCCACGCTGCAGAGGAAGGTGAAAACCCTCCAGGGTCTCTGCCAATCTGACCCGGGGGAAAATTCCTTCCCGACCCCAAATATAGCAATCAGTTAGACGCTGAGCACGTGGGCAAGACCCACCAGCCAGAGACCTGGGAAATAAGGAACAGGATCCATGAACAGCACTTTAATGGAAATCCCAGCAACTGAGGATGATGATAGGGGCTGAACTTCTCACCAGGGCTTTGTCCCAGGACCTCACTGGTGGCTCATGCTAATACACCTCTTTCATATTTCCATATGTCTAGAAGGTTGAGTCCTCCATCTGCGAGGTTTCTTACGTCCTGGTAAACATGCAGGAGGATAGCACTGCAGAGAGACAACAACTCTGCAGTAACCCTCTTCCAAAGATCCCTCCACAGATAGTGCTAAAGAGCGGAAGAGAACCCTTTCACTTTTTGTATGAGGAAGAGTCAGCATCTGCGGCTGCAGCATTACACAACATACAGTATATTAAAAGGTGCAACACTCCTTACAGGGGATTCTAAAGCAATGCTTCAGTTACTGTACTCGTTGGTGTTAGTGACAATTATGTCATGCCATGGTTCATTTATCTTCTAATCTAAAGTATTTACACATAATACCACACACGACTTGTAACTATTACTCGGAGCCTGGAATGGTTTACCTGGGACTCATTAATTATTTCCAGGGCTCTTGGTTCTATTTGTTTAATATACTCTGCAAATTGGAAAAGAAAATGAGGATTCTGGATTTCATTTTTATTCAACTTATTGGGAACAGAAGAAATGGGGCCAACAAGTGGAAAAAAAGAAAGACAAAAAAAATCATAGCTATAAGAAAAAGCAGTTAAAAATAGATGACAGGAGCACAATAGTTCAGAGGAAGAAAAGAAAGCTGCTTGTTACACTGATGTGTATTTTGCTAAGTTCACTTCAACAGTGGTATTCTAAACATAGTAAAGTCTTCTTTTTCAAGTTCCTAGAAAGGAGAGTATTCCCAAAGTTGTAATTTGTCTGACAGAAAGAAGACGTACAATACAGGACCTCAGCGCAGTACTTCCTTTTTTAACTGAGAGAGGGGAAGCTACTAATTCAGTGAAATGTAGTAATGTCATTCCTTCTCAATACACTGCCAGAACATGAAGTGATACTTCCCAACTTATCAAATCCTATTAAAGAAAACGTAGGTGACAGCAATACTATTGTGCCCATGGGATACATTATTTAGCTGTGCTTGTACAACTAAATCATCTATGTCTAACCTTGCTTGTTTTTAAAAGTCGATTTAGTCAGGATTACACGTCAAGGAAAACGTACTACATGATTTCTATGGAGTTGTAACATACTTAAATTTTGTTTATAACACAATTACTTCAAGATTAATTCTTTAAACTTTTAAGAAAATTCTCATGATATTGAGCCTATAACAGCTTAATTCCACAACCACAGAATTACCGTGTGGATTTCTTTTTAAAGTGTGATTTCCATATACAACACTAAGGCACACTAGAAAGTGAACATCATATTCTATTATCAAATATGGGGAGCAGAAGGAGGGAATAATTTAACCTGTCAGTCCTGAGCCCCACACTGGGTCAAATCCTTATTCATTTCCTATTAAAGCAAAATTCCTACTGAAACCACTAATGATCTATTTAGATAATCTGTCAAAAACTCAGGTACAGGAAATAGAGAAGCTATTAAGTCTTACCTACTCTTCAATAATTAAAATGTTTACCTACATACAGTATATAAATATGTTTTGCTTTGTGTATCTAGACAGATATAGGAATAGGATAAATTCTTCAGAGCATCCAAGTCCCATTTTCAAAAATTACTTAGACAACTTAGACACTTCGCATACTTCTACACTGCAAAACAAATAAAAACACACTGTGGCAGTTGTATGGGTGGATGTCCGGTAGGTGTGAGCCTGGTGGCTGTGTGCACGGGTGTGCACCCAGTAGGTGGGTGCCCGGTGAGGTAGGAGGGTCTCAGATTTCGGGAACCAGCCCAAGAGGGAATGTCCATACAGCTATTTTTCACTCTGTAGAGTGAGTCAGTTGACTCGGACTCTGAGAGTCACTGCTCGGTGGGATTTTTTTTCCCAGTATAGATGTATCCTTAGATGCTTAAGTCACCTCCTAAATGGGACTTAGAAGCCTAAGGTGCTCAGTTAGGTGCTTTTGAAAATTTTACTCATGATGTGTACTTCAACATAACAGAAAATCAGATAGATGTATGTGTAAATGTTAATACACATATGTAGATATATGTAATTATGGATATTATTTACACAGTATACTGTATTATTTATGTTGCAGTAGTGTCTATGAGCCCCAGTGATGGTCCAGAGCCCCTTACACAAATGAATGCATATGCTTCAAATCAATGAGTTTATACACACAGAGACATCCATACTTGTGGAAACCACATAGTAATTAGTCCTAAATGAGTTCAGAATTACTGTCATTGTGGGTATATATATCACCCATACTCACTCGTGTGTGCACGCAGATGGGAAATCCTAGCCCTACTGAAGTCCATAAGAGTTTTGCCATTCACTTTAGTGGGTCAAAGATTTCATCCATAACATTTTAGATAGTTTACAAACATGACGTGTTATATGAACAAATTCTATTTTACATAAGAATAAATGAGTTCTATGTATAACAACACATGAACAGCATCTAGTGAGGAAGAAAACATGTACCTATGTTAAGTTATGGTAGATTTCGTAGATTTCTTAGGGTGTGGATGTGCATAATGTACTGTATTTGTGTATACTGTATACAACCTCCAATGAGTTTATATTGAATATACTGTCTGCAGTGTGTACAGGTGTGTACACATTGAAGGTGGGTATGCCCAGAAGATATGTGCCCAGGTGGGTGGATATAGGTGTGTCTAGTGGGGGTGCACACAGGTAGGTGTGTGCCTGGTGGGTGTGCGTGCACAGGTGAGTGGGTGCCCGCTGGCTGTGTGCTCAGGGGGTGGGTGCCCGGTAGGTGTGTGCTCGCTGGCTGTGTGCTCAGGGGGTGGGTGCCCAGTAGGTGTGTGCCCAGTGGCTGTGCGCCCAGGGGGTGGGTGTCTGGTAGGTGTGTGCTCGCTGGCTGTGTGCTCAGGGGGTGGGTGCCCGGTAGGTGTGTGCCCGGGGGCTGTGCGCCCAGGGGGTGGGTGCCCGGTAGGTGTGTGCCCGGTAGGTATGTGCCCAGTGGCTGTGCGCTCAGGGGGTGGGTGCCCGGTAGGTGTGTGCCCGCTGGCTGTGCGCCCAGGGGGTGGGTGCCTGGTAGGTGTGTGCCCGCTGGCTGTGCGCCCAGGGGGTGGGTGCCTGGTAGGTGTGTGCCCGCTGGCTGTGCGCCCGGGGTGTGTGCCCAGTAGGTGGGTGCCCGCTGGCTGTGTGCCTGGAGGTGGGTGCCTGGTGGGTGGGTGCCTGGTGGGTGCCCACTGGCTGTGTGCCCGGAGGTGGGTGCCTGGTGTGAGCCCGTGGGTGTATGCCCGGTAGGTGGGTGCCCGCTGGCTGTGCGCTCAGGGGGGGGGTGTCCACTAGTTGTGTGCCTGCTGGCTGTGCGCTCAGGGGGTGGTTGCCCGGTAGGTGTGTGCTTGGTGGCTGTGCGCTCAGGGGGTGGGTGCCCGGTAGGTGTGTGCCCGCTGGCTGTGTGCTCAGGGGGTGTGTGCCCGCTGGCTGTGCGCCTGGGGGGTGTGCCCAGTAGGTGTGCGCCCGCTGGCTGTGTGCTCAGGGGGTGGGTGCCCGGTAGGTGTGTGCCCGGTGGCTGTGCGCTCAGGGGGTGGGTGCCCGGTAGGTGTGTGCCCGCTGGCTGTGCGCTCAGGGGGTGGGTGCCCGGTAGGTGTGTGCCCGCTGGCTGTGCGCTCAGGGGGTGGGT